TCCTAGTCGTGAGTAAGAGATAAAAATAAATAAAGCTAGTGTATCGTCATTATATTTTTTTCTACTTTATTAACATTTAACAATTAATGTGATGGATGAGCCTGCAAATGACTGCAAATTTTCTAAAATTGAAGCTTTTACAATATTTTACTGGGCACAGTTTGGAAATAGCTGACTCAGCCAATACATTATCATTTCCCCATTGGCCTTTTCCTATTACGTAATTATGCCCTGACAACTATACATTTTGTTGAAGCTATAAAGACCAAGATGGTGTGGCCATTTGCGTGGTCGCAGTCTCCTTTCGTTGTATACAAGTTGTTTGACCTTGTTTTCGCAACTTGGTCATTATGGTAGGAAGACTTAAAGAAACACACCTAGTCCGGATTCCATTGTATGCATCATCATTTGCAGAGTGGGACCGTGGATGTGGTACATTCCCAGACATTTTGTTGAAGCTATAAAGACCAAGATGGTGTGGCCATTTGTGTGGTCACAGTCTCCTTTCGGACAAGTCTTTTTGACTGGTTTGTAATATGGTGCTACGAATGGCGAGACTCACTGATGTCGGCGAAACGTCTGGAAATGTACCCCGTCCACGGTCCTACTCTGCAAATGATGAGTCCGGACAAGGTGCATTCCTCTAAGTCTTCCTACCAATATGACCAAGTTGCGAAAACAAGGTCAAACAGCTTCTATACATTTTGTTACCCATCCTTGTCCTTCCAGCACATATGCCCATCTCTTGAATCACACTATTAGTTCGATAATACCTGACACTATGTGAAACTTATTTTCTCAAATTTTTATCTTGTATACTTTTTCACCATCTTCAACGCTCCAATGATCCTCTATTTTTCCCATTTATTTTAACAATTTTCCTTATCCCTATATTACTTGCATTTTTTTACATTGTCCAGCCTGCGGAACCTGCCATCAGACCGTTCACTCGGAATCAGCCCAGTTGCAGCTATCCCAGTCTCACATTGAGCTGTAGCCGAGTTCAAGACAAACCACAACCGATTGTGTTTGCCCATCGCTTCGACATGCTTGATAAAGGCCAATTGGGGCTTCTGGAGGAGTATAGAATCAAACAGTTCCGGCATTGTCATCAGAGTAAGCTGAGCCCATCCCAGTTTAGGATGGGAGTTCACGGAATTCAGGGACATATTGAGAACTGGGAATTATTATGAACAGCCAATCCGAATGATAAAATAAATAAATTAGCCAAAGGTAGTCATTAAAAAGGTCAAGTAATAGCCTCAAGCTTAAAAAGCTACTATAGGCGTAACAAAAATGGTATCGAATAAACGTGTTCTGTTATTTTTATGTCATAAAATCGCAAAATTTTAACTGGGCTTTCATCCTAATTCAAGACATTTGAATGATAACTTAGCATTTTTGGCAATCCAGCCATGTGAGGAATGTCTTTTACAGTTATTGGGATATAAAATTAACGTACATTCAATCAGCTATTGGCCGCTGCCTGCGTCCAATCGAAAGCCGAGATTGTCTCTAAAACTTACTTGCATTGAAACTTTGCACGAAACCCTCTCTTTGGTACAATATTCAACCCTTATCCCAAAAGCAACTCTAGTGGACGAGATCTGTGTATCGTGTTTTTTTTCATTTTAAATATCTCCATTTTTTATCCGGACTATAGTGAGCTATTTTCCCTAGTGGTACTGACTTTGATTGCTACGCTCTGACGCCAAGTTGACCGATTCAGAGGAAGATGAATGCTTCAAAGATGGGAGACTGTGCGGTGTCGTGAGCTTGGTACCAGTGTTGAATGAGACTGGTTTTTACGAGCTCGAACTCTGCTTTAACATTGGAACTATAACGGAAATTACGTTCTTCACTCAAGAGTATGCTCATTCAGAAACTTTACAAATCAAGGTCAAGGGTCAAATTAGAAGGCCTATAGAATTTCCTCAAAACCTCTCGATGGACTATTATGCAATATTCGTTTTCATTTTGAGGCAAATTTAGCAGTCTTCTTGAATAAATGATCGAATGACATTACACTTTTTCACTAGAGCCATACAGACTATCATTGGTTGAACAGAGTAGATAGTGCATTGTAGAGGTACCGTCTAAGCATCGGGGATACACAT